GCAGGGAGCCTGCCCTGCCCTCCGCGGTTTTGCTTGTCCGGCCGGCGGTGCTGGCGCTGCGCGGTTCACATGCCCATTTTAGAGACGCGCACGCTGGGGACGCGCGTGTCTCCTGCTTCGCCAGGTCACGCACCGTGGCGAGGCTCCGCATCACACCCCGGCCGTGTCAGGTTAAACACGGCGCCTGGGAGAGCGTTTCCCAGCCCTCTCAGCCCTCCCGCACACCACCGTGCGGGGCGTCCGGCCCCATCGATACCGACACGTCGTGATTCGGGCGAGCGCGGACGGAGGGCTCGCTGCCTGTCCTGAGCCTTTATGGGATGTCAAAAGCGGCAGCGCTGGGTGGTCCTGTGAAAGCACAGTCCACGCTGAAATCCAGATGAACTCCTAGCTGGTGTTTAACTGCTCAGGAATTAAATGAGGAGGAAAAGTTTTGGATGACATCCTTAGAGGATAAAGTTTTATGTATCATCTAGAAATATTTTAACTGGCTTTTCTATGCTTTAATCACTCATTTCAGCGGAACATCAAATACTACAGGAGTTTGGAGTGGATGGGTATGGGTATGTGTTATTTTTTTGCCACGATTTCTGTTCTTTTCAGACAAAAAGCAGACAAATTTTGCTTTTAAGGCTTGTAAAAGGAGATGTTTGAATTTTGCGGTTAAGCTTACCCAAAGTTTATATTTAAAAGGCACTATTTTATCAATGATTGATAAAAGAGCAGTGCACCAGATGTATTTAATCAGCCACTCTGTCTCTGAAAGCATGCATGTACTTTTGACTCCCTTTCCAGGGTGAAATCCTGGCCTCACAGAAATTAATAGCAAAACTTATATCAACTTCACAGGGGTCAGGATTTCACCCTGTGTATCATTAAGAACTCCCCAGTGATGGAGATCCTGCCAAGCATTCATCTCCTCCAGCCAAATCAGCCAGGGGGTTCTGGAAGAGCTCCACAGCTTTATAAAGAAACTGGCATTTTTTCCCCATTTGCTAGTACTCCCTCCAAATACATCAGCATTTCAGCAGAAATGACAAGCAAACTGGATCTGAAGAGACTGTCATCAGAGAGGTTCTCTTGGGCCATTAAGTCCAGTCCTTCCTAATACAGGCAGCCATGCCAGGTAATACCTTTATTAAACTTGCTGAGTTCCACCTCAGAACAACTGGGATTCCTACTCCTCCTGTGGGAAGGCTATGATGAGCCTTATTCTGCTGATATCTAGGAACCTCAATCTTGTTTCTAGCTGCATGTATTCATAGGCAATTATACATGGATAAACAAGCCTTTGGCTGAAATAGATCTTCATTTTGGCAATTAACCCTCTAATAAAGAGGTAGAAATCAGACTCTCTCAGTCTTATTTTCGATCATCATTTTTTCAGATGTGGCCTTACCAGCATTCTGCATGGAAGTGCAAGTAGTTTCCTGTCTCTACCAGAAATACTAACATTTCATAATTATCCTCTGATTGTTCAGTGTATCTGGATTTTTCTCCAGTATCAGGTCCATTTATCACTTTATATCAGAAATTCTTGCTGTTAGCACATATGTGCATGACCTAAATTTCACCCCATTCCTATTACACCAATTCCTCTCTAGTCCTTCCAGTGTAGTATTTGGTTCTCCTATGTCGACAGAGGACCTCCCTCCCATGCTTACACCATCAACAGTTTCACTAGTACATTTTTACTTTTCCATGCCAAGTTTATTACTGAAAGTATTACATAAAATACTGAAAGTATTACATAAAATAACTCCCAATACTGATTTTTGAGGAACTAATCTGAAGAACACATAAACAAGCATTGAAGCTGGGCTTAGAATTCACATGTTTCAGTACAAGTAAGTGCCCTAACAATAGGCTAGAAAGTCACGCTCTCTTCTAGACCAAGTGCAATTGTAGCTCCTTTTTGTGAAGCAGAAAAGCTGCGATGGAAAGTGATGGGAATGACATCTCCCTCTAGTGCTGAGAGATTAGTGGGCTCTCCCCTAGAAGGGTGGATTTGTAGCTCTCAGGCAGAAAGGGTCGAATACAACTTGGGCACCCTCTGGCCTTTTAAAAAAGGGATGACTGACTACCTCTGCCTTTTAAGGTCCTGCTGTGTTCCTAACATGACTCTCCAAGGATATAAGGAAAAAGGCACCAAGCATACCCAAACCAGCACGTTTGGCACCTGCAGAAATTCAGTGCAAACAGCTGAGGAAACTTCAGGACTGAGCAACAGCTGCAGTGAGGGGTTACAGGTTCACAGTTTTGGACTGCCACGCTTAAATGCTACATAGTTCCCCTTTAGGACCTGCCCTAAATGACAAAACCTCCTCCCTGTGGGCTTAACACAGCTGCTTCAGAGGAGGTGCAGCCCCAGCGGCTGGGACAATAAGCAAGAAGCCTGTGTGATTCTGGAACTCATGCAGCCTATTGAGAGAGCAGAGTTTTACTCCTAAATTGAGCAATGCTGTTGCTCTGCCTACTAAGACACACTTGCAATACTTCATGGCTTCCTTTGAGTTTCTAACAGTCTCCTGGGCCTTAACAGCACAGCAAACAGTGATTCATTAATCTGGCAAAGTACAACCATTGTGGGCTCCCTATTCAATTAGTTTCTTTTGCCTTTTCCCTAACCCTCCACTGAATTTTCCTTTATTTCATCCCTAAGCCCACACACGGACACAACACGCCAGTTGATTACATTTACTGGAACTTTTAGAAAGCACTCTTTCAACATGTTTAATATGTTGTAAATTGTCCTTATCATGTCATGCAGTGTATGTGTTTTGTGATGGGGAATGGAGTCCTTAACAAAGACAGTTAAACCAGAGAACCAAATCATTTCACATAAAATGCTGTAGCTCCCCTCTCATTAAAACAGTTTACAGCACAAGGGAGTTCAGTCCTGTTGGTTGACAGCTATGCAAACCACCCACTCGGTGTGTAATCAGGCTCATGAAATGGATGTGCTTATGATAGTGAGAAACCTCTTTGGTGACTAGGAATATGGAAAGGAATTTTCTTTGAACTCCATTAGATCCTACCAGTACTTTGGTCAGCATCAGTTATCCTGCTGTGCATTTGAACTTTGCTATTGCCCTAGTCGACTTCCACTTAATCTTCCTGCAGTGCTGAAGAAGACAGGACATCTGGAACTGAAAACAATTATTCTTATCTCCTATGGCTTTCATAATTACATGAGGTTCACATTTGAAGAGCTCAATTCCTCATGTGGACATGTGCTTCTAATTAACAGAGGGATGTGCCACACCACCAGAAGCCAAATCCTGAATCTTGCACAAGTCGGCTACAGAACGTCTGAATCTTTAGCCAATGTGCTGGTTCTGGCTGGGATAGAGTTCATTTTCTCCATAGTAGCTAGTACGGGGCTGTGGTTTGGATTTGTGCTGGAAATAGTGTTGATAAGACAGGGATGTTTTTGTTACTGCTGAGCAGGGCTGACACAGAGTCAAGGCCTTTTCTGCCTCTCACCCCACCCCACCAGCGAGGAGGCTGGGGGGGCACAAGAAGCTGGGAGGGGGCACAGCCGGGACAGCTGACCCCAACTGACCACAGGGATATCCCACACCATACGGCGTCGTGCTCAGCATATAAAGCTGGGGGAAGAAGGAGGAAGGGGGGGACATTCGGAGAGATGGCGTTTGTCTTCCCCAGTCACCGTTACGCGTGATGGAGCCCTGCTTTCCTGAAGATGGCTGAACACCTGCCTGCCGATGGGAAGGAGCGAATGAATTCCTGGTTTTGCTTTGCTTGCCTGCGTGGCTTTTGCTTTACCTATTAAACTGTCTTTATCTCAACCCACGAGTTTTCTCACTTTTACCCTTCCGATTCTCTCCCCCATCCCACTGGGGGGAAGTGAGTGAGCGGCTGGGTGGGGCTTAGTTGCCAGCTGGGGTTAAACCATGACAGCCAACATGGCAGTTTTCTGGCTGAGCTAGGAGGAAGCTTAGTAAATAAACACAAGACAATGTAATTTCACCATAACAGTGCTTTTTGTTAGAGACTATCGCAGTAGGATCCAGCAGATTCAGCTGAGATTTAAGTCAGCATAGGAATGATCTCTTCCCATGGCTCTGCAGAGGGCTTTTCTTGGTTTTCCACCTGCACTGAATATCCCAAAGAATTTACAGGGCACAAAGACATGAAGGGAAATGCAAACAAAGAGCTGAAAAAGTGAATTGCCCAAGCTTACCTAGTGGATGATGTCAAGAGACATTTTGTATCTTGCTTCCCTGCTCTGCCAGTAGATATGGCATAAAGAGCATACCCTGTTCCCTCTACAAATGGTCAGTCTAATGAATATGGAGCATTTCAGCCAGTTGTAATTGACTCTCCAGCAGTAGAAAGAAAACTATGAGCTTTCAGCTAACCTACACAGGCCATCGGTTGAATTACTTCCTTTAAAACAAGCTTCTCTGTAGACTCTAGATAGCTTGGGACAATTGGTGAGAAGCGAAAGAAAGTGTTATGGGGAAATCACCACTTGCCAACGGTGTTCAATGGCTGTTGATGCACAGATATAGAGGTTTATGGTCAGAAGAAGCCTTCAGATTATCTTAGTTGACATCCTGCATAATACAAAGCATTCAATTTTACATTCAGTCCAAGATCCGTACTATGAACCCAGAATTCTCTGCTCATCTCAAGTATATTTTTCAGAAAACCATCCAATCAAGAGATGCAGAATTTGTCTTGCCAATTCATTCAAATGTTACTATCTATCTTCACTGTTAGAAAACTATGGTTTATTTCTAGTTTTTCTAATTTCTTTATGATACTTTTAAATCTTTTGGCTTTTACCCTGTCTGATGAGTCTTTCTTTGTCCTATTCCGCTACAGTCCTTGG